ATTCCAAGAATTTTTTTTTTGCTAAAAATTAAATATTAAGTCATATATAATATTTTTACAACTGACAAATGTTCAGGTTTGAAGAAACTGTTGGGAGATTATCAAGGGATGCTGTGACTTGCCATTTCCAAATTAAACAAGCATTCACATTTAAACAAGTGCAATCTTCCAGTCACTTAAATGCACCAGCTCCACAATAAGTCTAGAATAATTGAAAAAGTATTTAACTGCAAGTTTCAGTCCGCAAGTCACAGCCCGCTCAGACACTTTATGACTTAAGCACTTTTATGTATTTGCTGAAAATAAATTCTTATGCAAATACCAATAAACTAGCAAACAGACTTTGGCTTTAGGGCTTAAGTTTAAGAAACTTGTGCTATAAACACATTCAGTTCTTGCTGATTTTGACTTTGAAATAAATATTTTGAAAGTTTTAGTTTCAGAGCCAAGCAGCACACACTGAGTCGAGTCAGTATATTCCATGCAATTATGAAAAATGTTTTTGCCAACTGCAGCTGAATGGGAAATTCTTTCAGAACTCTTGCCAACTGACAACAACATGTGTAGCTGTGCCACGATGTGCCACAGTGTTGTTTGCCATGCACACACACACAAACACACACACAGACACATTGTGTGCTTTAACTGCTTGGCAGCTGCAGCGGAATAAAGAAAACGTAGCATACAAATGAGCGCAGCTTGAATAAAATCTAGAGCTAAAGATCAACGGTAAACACAAACATGAAAACACGAAAATAAACATCGAAAATTGTGGAGCTCTTTTATATGGTAATTGAAGGAGAATTTCGAGCAGAGCAGAGACAAATATTATAAATATTGCAAATCGAATGGCAGCCTCAGCCAATTTGTTTGGGCCTCAAGCGCCATAAAAGTCAGCAATTGACAATGTTTTAATTGCATAGCTGTATGATATATGGGCGTGCCAGAGAGCACACAATTCACTTTTCGATTTAAATATATATACATATATATACTGCCAGTGTATATCAATATAGGTTGAGCAAGGACTGCAGGCAAATCTTTTCATTTCTTTTTGTGGGGCAGCAGGGAAATCGCATGCAATTCCTATGGAAATTGTGTTGTGGCTGCCATTTAAAGTGTCCAATAAAGGTTGCATCTCCTGTGGCCCGACTGTAGCCATAGCAGCAATGCCAGGGGGAAAACCTACACATACACATGCGGCAGCCACATATCAAGCCAGGGCATACATATTAAACTTTAGCCAACGACGACGTGCAAATGGCAAAAATGTGGGTAGAAATGTTAGGGAAATGAATGCACATGCAACACATAACAACAACAACAACAACAACAACAACAACAACGGCAACTACAAGCAGAGCCAGGTGAGTTCACCCAAATATTTATATATAACTCTCATAATAACGAACAGACACTTCAATGCCAGACAATAGCCATAATCACTCTCGAGCAACAACATAATTTAGCCTATTAAAACTCATCTGGGTTGTTCAACATGTTTGTCTTGTTAAAAACTTGTGCTGTATTGTTCTAGCTCTTCTCGACTGCTCAGCTGCTCAGCTGCTCGACCGCGTACAATGCAATTGTTGCATATGCCAACAATAAACATGAAAAGCATTTTCCTCACACAATTTTTGTACATCCTGCGCCAGCCAGCCATCCACTCAGGCTAAGTCCTTCAACAGGCCAAACAACACTTACATGGCGCAAAACAATATGGAATAAAAACCATAGCGTACTTATGCAAGGTAGTCGACGTGTGTAATACCCTGCAATGAGGTCTTTACGTACGAATTTAAAAATATTCAAAAAAGTTATAGAGCTCATATAATGCTAAAGAGAGGTGAAGAACAGATATGAAAAATGATAATAGAGAAAACAAGAGAAGAACAAATATACATCAAAAGAAAAGTTCATAGCACAAAAAAAAGAAAAGGAACAAATTTGAAAAAAAAACAAGAGCAAGAAAAGGAGAAAAACTTGATAATAGAAGATAAAGAAGATGAATAGAGAATAGAGAAAATTAAATAGTGAAAGAGAATTCGAAAAGAATTATAAATGTATCAAAAAGCCGAAACTAAAGAGCAATCAAAGAAATAAAAGAGATAGACAAACATACGTTCAACTCGATTCGCATACACCCTCGGTCACAACTTACTTCGCCATGCACAGGGTATTAAAACATAAGGCAACAACAGCGAACAAACGTACAGTGCGAAAAGGTGGCAAATCTAGAGCGCCGCAAGTGAAAACTTCACGTTACCTTTGCAGCCCGTTAATTGCAATATTCATTTAAACTATTTAATTTCTCTAACTAATTCCGAGTGCCAGTTAGCGTTCTCGCTTCGCCTTTAGGACTTTTGGCTGCAGATGAAAATCAATTTCCAGTCGATTTCCAGGCTCCCTTTGAGCGCTGCTCACGCACAGTAAACGGATGAGCGCGCTGCCTGGAAAATCAATGTTCAATGCAATTACGGCGCGTCTTTCGTTTCAGTTAAGTTAGTTTTGTTCGAGAAGTACTCGAGTGCCTACCTCAATACAGTCAAGCATTAAAGTCAGTGGAGCAGCAGCTGTGTCAAAGCGAAATGGCCAATTGAATGAAATTGCCTTGACTTTGGGAGCGCAACATGAATCTATAAGCAATATTCCCATAAAGTAACATGCTAGATTTATGATAGAAAGTAAGAGCAGGTCGAATAAAGTTAAGGTGCATATAGTATAAGCAAAAACTTGGGCTCGTTAGCATAAAACAAAAACCTAATCATAATATAGGCTTGGGAAGAGAAAATGTTTCAATGAAAGAGAGAGAAACAATAAAATGGACAGATGGCATGGGAGATGGAGAAAAAAATTAGTATTGCTGACTATAGAGATAAATTGGGAGAAAGAGAGGAAGAGAGACAGAAAGAGAGAGAGGGAAAGAGAGAGACAGAGAGATATCGATGGGCGTAGAGTGGGAGCAAGAGAGAGTGGGAATGATAGAAAGCAACTCACAGCGAGAAACAGAGAGAAAAGTCAGAACAAATCTTTTCATCAATAATTTGTATTTTTTTATTTAGCATGAATTAAAAAGGTTTAAATTTAATTTATTTTTCATCGTTATTTTATTTAATTTTTTTTTTTAATATTGTTTTAATGATTGCCAATTTAAACTGAGTAAATTCCATTCGGCATTCAGCACAAATTTACATGCCCACATACCCCCTCTTTGCAGGGGATTTGCAACAATGATGTGCTCTTTAGCCACGTTAATACCCAATGACCGAGCGCAGTCCGAGCTCATTTGCTTACTGTAATCCCAGCATAATCCTCAATGTTGCTCTTTGAATTTAGCATTGTGAGTGTTTTGTTTCGTCTGCTTGTTGATTTTTGCGGTTGTTCGTAATTAAAGCGAGGCGAATCTAATTAAATTATTCAAGCTTTTGTCTAATTTGCTGCGCAGTAGATTCTGCGAAGCCACCTTGGTTGGCCCTAATGCTGGAAATAGCAATTAATTCCATTAGCATCGACCTCGTTGAGCTGGCTCCCATTGTAATTATCCCAATTGCTAACAGGAGAAATAGCCAAGACGCAGGGAACATTTTAGGAATTGCAGTCTGTCTGCTATATGAAGCATCTCAATTAGCCTGAGCAGATCAGAGTCTTTACGAATCTCCACTTTTTACTAGTAACAGCTATTTGTGCAGCTCGTGTCAAAGAGAAACTGGCCAAGGCTCGCCGCAACCTAGTCGAGGCTATAAAGTTGTGGGCCTTAGAGCTGCTGCCAAAGCAACTGGAATGGCAAATAAAATATACAGTTCATTTTGCCATATTTGAAATGACAAAATATTGAGGCCTATGTGCATTGGATTACCTGAGGATTGCTTTAGCTTTTCTGCTAAGCAGACAGAAATTGATTTGACTTTATCAAATTAAACGAGAGTCAATTGGAATTTACGCAGCACTAACCGCCAGATGGCGCCATCTAGGCCCACATACTAAACGAATAGTCAGATAAAAAAAAGCTTATATTTTTAATAAAAAATTTCGTTAAAATTATATATAAATTACAATTTGTTATATTATTATGCAAAAAATTCAGGGTTCAAAGCCCAAGTCGATTTGCTTTTAAATTTTTAAATAAAACTTCATTTGTTTGCTATAATGAAAAGCTGCAATAAAGAAATCCTGTTGGTTATTGAATTAGACTAGTTGGATTAGTGACTCGGTGCCTTTACCTTAACAGGTTCTTATATCTTGAGGCTCTTGAGTTTCATAGCATTCTGCCCAAGTCAATGCAAAAGCTAATAAGATTGTCCGGCTGAAGCGTTTCACTCCATCTCTGACGTCTCCAATATCCTGACAGTTTAAATTCAATCTTCATTAGTCTCATGCAATTTGTAATCAAACATAATTAGATTATAATTCCAACAAACAATGCAATTTCCCATTAACAACAAAATTTAATAACAAAATAACTTTAACCTTGATCTTTAATGGACAAAAAAATTAAATAATTATTTCTTTTTGAAATGCGCAATGAAACTTACTTTAAAATTGGTCCTCATGTTCGGTCAAGTCGATAAACTCTAATGGATCTCGTGAGTCGGACACAAAAATCACAGCCTCGTCATTTTCACTTTCCACATCGGCGTTCTTTTTGAAGCATTCTTTGCACGCTTTGTTCTTTTTGCTTTTATGCATTTTCCATTTTGCAGGCGTCTCCTTAGCCGGACTTAGTGGCACAACTCGACTTCGTAGTCGTATATAGTTCGGTGTATCCATAGATGCTTTTTGTTTGTGGCTGATGGAATATTAAATATTATTATTAAATATACATTAATTTTATCAATTTTTATCTTAGTCGTTGTAAGTAATTATATTCACTTGATGTAAGAATTCCGATTTTTAATAATTTTTATTTTACTGATTGCGTAGTTTGCAATTGACAGCTTTGTGAAAACGTCATTGAATTGAAAAATTGCTAGAGCTAAACTTGAATACAGTCGAGTCTCGGTGATTTGTGCGCCATTAATCGAATATCGAAAGTCGAAATCGATAAATGAAAAAAATTCTAACCGCTTTAACGAAATTCTCGATAATTTAAATTTCTCTTTAAACCGAAAACAAAACCGATCCCTATGTCATTTCAATTTATTGAATATTCTTCTGCTATTTATTAGCTCATTTAACTGGTGCATCGAATTTAGCTGGACAGCTCCATGTTATTTAATTAGTTTCATTTAGTTATTCAACCGCAAATGTCAACTGCTGTCCGGCTGAAGCATCGATATTACATGTGGCGGGCCCTGACCAAATAGTTGGAGCTGTTTCAGTTTGTTGACAAACATAAATTACATGAAATATGCATTGGGCTGGACAACAGCAGCGCCAAAAGTCACTTCACATTAAAAGCCAAAATAAATATGCCTCGATTATCCATGGATATTTGACTGCAGCATCTATTTAGCGAAAACTATTTACAGTTTCAGTTTTTGTTGTTTTGTGCCGTTTGAATGCATTCAAAATTAATTTCATGATTTTCCATCACGCTTTAATGTGAGCCCCTCGTGACAAATGTCTGCCAAAGCTCGGCGAGATAAATGAGCACGGCAAATGCACAAACATGACAATGGACATAAATAGTCACTGACAATTAGCAGACACTGTGCAGAGAGACAGAGGGAGAGAGAGTAGCTAGAGATAGAGATTATTGGCTCTACGCATATCGAACCATGCGATTTATGGCATTTGTTGTTAATTTGTCTTTGGCCATGGGGCCACAGCTTTATTGCTGCCGTTCGCAAACAAAAGCCAAAAGCTAAGCCAAATAGTTGCGCACACACAGTGCGTATGCTTGATGTATGGCATACAATGCTAATATAGACCGAACTGTCCGAGCTGCCCGAACGGCACTTGGCACGCATGAAACACCAACCTTTCGCTTATTTAAACCGCCATTGAGTAATGGCCTTCAAGCGTTGCCCACAAACTAAGCGGATTGTGTAGACGGCCGGCATGGGGATAGGGATGGGGTTGGGTAAGGGAGAAGGACAAACTCAGCTTGAAGAGTAAAATGTCGTTGGTTTAATTTATGCAATTCGTTAGCTCAAAGATAAATGCTAGCAAATTGAAAAATAGGAATGCTTAAAGGTATTTTCCTTAGCGAAAAGAGAAAAAATGAAGAACTGAGTGAATACTGAATTGACTCTCTTTTGATGCTCATTTTATAATATTTATGAAATGTATTTAATTTAGTAAAAAGGTTTTAAAAATAACTATTTTAAGGTATACTTTTAAAATATAAAATAATAAAGTAACGATTGGTAAAGCAACTATAAAATAAATCATGATTAAATGATCCAATAAATAAAGAAAAATTAAAATCAAAATATTATAATATCTATAATGTGCTAAGTCAATAAAAAAAAGTAAATAAAATATTAAAAATAAAAACTAACAATAAAAATAAAACTGTTTTTCATGCATGCAGTAAATAGTCTTAATCATTTAAATATTTAAAAATTAAAATATGTATTTAAAAAAATCTAAAATAAAATTTGCAAAGAGCTTAAAATCAATATAAAAGTAAAGTTAAAATATTTAAAAATCTATGAAAAGAGCCAAAAGTCCATAAAAAATAAAATCAGAGTATAGAAAATAAATTTAATAAAAAAAAGAGAATACTGAAAAAACAACATAAATAAAATTGGGTAAAAGCTTACAATAAATAAGAAATAATATTAAAAAATTAAAAGCAAATCTGAAATAAAATTTGCCAAGATAATAAACGAGTATCAATGATAATAAATAATATATCAATGAA